GTGTTGAGCTGCACGGGGCGTGTCTTGAAAGTGGCTGCAGTGTTCCAAGATCGACTTGCGCTTTGCAATGCATTTCTATTCCAGCGATGCCCCCTTGGCTGTGAAGGCGCATTCGACCTGGAGGCAACCATTGATACCTTCAGAACTGGGCAACAGGATGCAGAAAATGCAAGTTCCTGAAGCCGCACCTCCAGTTTTGGCTCACTTACGCGGCTGCCGACAAGCAAGAGCTATTGATTCCAGTGTCGGCTTTTTCAGAGCAACCCTCTGGCAGGTCCATACCATTGCCCCAAAAGAAACCCCCCTGCCAACATGCGCCAAGAAAAGGCCGCGAAAGCTACTCAACACCGGAGACGGAGATGCACATCGACCTGTGCTGCGGCTCAGAGGGCCCAAGCCTGGCTGCCAGGGCTGCCAGGCTTGAGGCGCAAGACCGACGCGGCAAGCGTTATCAGGTGATGGGAAAATTCACCGAGCACCGGAGCGCCCAGTACCCGAAACGTGACAAATCTGCGGCACTGTCAAGCTTCGCCGCTCGAATTCCGAAACGCAAAAACCGGGGGTCGCTGTGCGCCGCTGTTTAACAGCGGCGCATCCTAATGGCTTTGTTCCACATCCGGTCTTCACCTCAGCCGCAGGAAACGGAGCTCCTTCCCGATGCCCGTCCTTCCGTGCTGCCGAGCTTCGACTTGGCCGGCCGGGCTTCCAGTTTTCCTGGCAGCGCCGGAATTGCCTGGCAGTCACCTGATGGAGATCCAAACAGCTCGCAGCGATACGCGACCGGCGGACCAGGCGGACCGGGCGGACCGGGCGGACCGGGCGGACCGGGCGGACCGGGCGGACTGACCAGCGCCTCGCTGCAGTCGTGCCCGCTGGATGTGCTTCAAAGCCCCTAGCTTCTTGGCCGCCTTGGCGCGCAGCTCCGCCATTTCCTGCAAGGCGAAGCGAAAGAGTAGCCAAGCTTCAAACAAAAGGATCTAAAAGGATCTTTGAGGCATCGGGTTTTTTGGGCTTCAAGCTCCCAAGCCCTGACACTCCCCCCCCCCCCCCGCCTGCCGTGCACGAAGGTTCCCCTGACTGACAAGGCACAGAAGCTCCAGCCCCCGTGAGACGCGCAGCGGGCTGAGCTTGCACTTCTTGATATGCTGATCCAATGCCTGCCATGCAAAAGGGCACAAGAGCCACACGAGCCACAAGGGGTGCAAGAGACATCAGGGACTCCAAAGACGCAGATCCATGTTTCGGCTACCGGCCTGGACCTCTGCCTGCGTCAGCGGGCGACCCAATGACTCGAAGTTGAAGCTGCCTTGTGGCGCAGCAGAATCGAGTCATTGGCACCTCATCCCTTGTGCAAAACTCCGAATTCCTGGATGTGGTCCTGTAGAGTGGTAGTATGCCAATGTATCCAGGAGCCAGATGCGATATGATATTTGATATTGTCAACAATGGATGTGAATGGCTCGATGAAACATGTGTCATAACAACGCGAAAGACACAGTTTTGCCGGACAAGAGCTTGCCCACTTCTTGCCTGCCCGCCCGCCCGCCTGCCTGCTTGCTTGTTTGCTTTCCGTGTTCCGTCTTTTTCGAAGGAAAGCCAACTCAGCCCCATCGATCTCTTTGCAAGGTGCTTAGGATCTGCAGCATCAAGAACTGGCCATCCACGAACTTGTGGCCTTTGCCCTTGCCCATTTGCAGCTTGAAGGGTGGGTACCTAGACAGTTGGGTCTGCAAATCTGGAAACGCAAACGCCTGACAGTGCCTAGCCATGTCTCTCAGCCGAGCCACGGAAGGTGAGCGATGGGAAAGCCGGAGATTGCGCAGTTGTCACCTTGGCTTACACAAGTGAAGCACACTGAATCCAGGAGATATCCGCCCGGAGGTGGAATTCAAGGAGAAACCCTTGCCATGTTATGACCAATCAGCCATCATCGCAGCATCGCCAAAGCCCTGTACAGCAAGCTAGACGTGCCAACATCTACGCCTGAGCACAAGAAGTTTCAGTCCGTCTTACATTTAGGATGAATGAGGATCTCATACCCTTGCCGCCACGTTATGCTGCGAGGTGGGAGATGTATTGAACCGCCCTCCAATCCTGCTGACCATTGCCAGGCTGCTCAGCTCTCCCCACCATTTCTGACTGCCGCTGTGCTCCTGTCGATGTGCAACCTGCTTTCCCTGCAGTTTGAACCCCAGAGCCAAACAAATGCAAATTTATCCGTTGAGTCACTGCAACTGACTTGGCAGTCACTTGTACTCTTCACTCCGGCCTTTGCTCTTCTAGGCTCAGAGCGTCTCTCCGAACCTCATGCGTGACTTTTCAACAGCTCGCTGGCGCAGCCTATTGCATGAGCACGTCCCTCGGACCCTTTGGCATTTTGACACGGATCTGAACTGATGCGAGCCGCCCGAGCAGTTCTTCGGCTTGGAGTCGCTCGGCCCTTCCTGGCCATCCTCATCTGAGCTTGGAGGCACGTCCCCGGGACACGCAGCCTGAGGCAGTATCGGCACACAGGCTATGCCATCACAAAACCGGCGAGAATCCGTCGACTGCACCTCTTGAAACACCCCCATGTTCTTCCAAATGTACGATGCCCTGCAAGGCTGGGGCTGACCCGCCTGAACACGGGTGCAATCCCAGGACTTCGCCCGGGACCGGCGGAGGGGTGACTCATGCTCGCCTCAGATTGAGGAACGATACGACGATACACAAAAGCGTGCAGCAAAATGATCACGAGAGTCAAGGAAAGCCAGCTCGTGTGTCTGGGAGCGTCTCTTGATGCAAGACTTGTTGGCATCTGGAGCACCAAGCTGTTCAGCTTCTTGCAATTGCATTTGCTATGATTGATTTCACGGCTGAGGAAAGGACTGACATCAATGAAGGTGTTCTTTACGCAGGTCGACAAATCCTCTCCTGAAAGTCGTTCCATGAAGACCCTCCGGGGCCTGCCGCTATGTGCGCCTGTGCCACCTATGTGGACGCCCAAGAGTTCGATGCCATTCTGCAGCTCGCGGACCCAGAAGGTGAACCTGAATGGGGCTTGCGTGCCCAGGCGAAACCCGACCATCTTGTTCAGCCCGGCCACCTTCAAGCTGAAAACTTCTCAAGTGCCAAGGGGCTGTCGCAACTGCAGAAGTGGCCTCTCCACCTGGTTGATTGTACTGGGTCCTCGGAGCGTATGCGAGTCTTACTTACCCTGCATCTCCCCAGGGCAAGCAATCCTAGTGTTGATCAATGATCGAAAATCAATCCAGAGTGCCAGCCAACCCCACGCGTCAATTCTGAGCTCCGCGCTGTACGATCGAATCTGTCTCAAGCACTCATGCGCTGGCTTCAACAATCGCACGGAGATGTCCTGCGCCAATTCACCAAACGGCAAAAGCTGCAACGGAAAACTTCCCACTTGAACGAAAGCTCGAAGCTGACCCTCTCGCTCTCTCTCTCTCACCCTGAGCCGTCTCCTCCGCTGTCACCAGCTGCTGCGCTGTATCTGGCAAACCTCGAACGCATTTCCAGTTGAGTCACCGGAGGCAGGGACTGGCACAAAAGTCGGAATGGAGGCAGTGCTCAACAATTAACACGATGAAAGCCGCATTTGCAGACTGCCAACCTGTTCAAGTTTCAGAGACAAAGCCGCAAGCTGAGGAGTCCGCCAATAACCTCTTGAAAGCGGCAGTGAAACCGCTTGTCAAACTTCTTGATGATCTTTCCTGAGATGCCGAGAGGGGATTCGCCCGGCAGTGTGTCTGGGTCAACCAGGATGGCAAAGTTGAAGAAAAAAAACAGGCTTGCACAGGAGCGAAGGGGGAGGAGTCGGGAAGAAGTCTGAATTGTCCAAAGGTCTCATGGCCTCGAAGTTGAGGTCTGAGTAGTGCCTAAAGCTCTCGATCTTCCGCACCACATCTGTGCAGCCCTGCACGCCGCGAG